AGAGCCTGGCAAGCTATCCGCTGTGTATTCGATATGCCAAAACCAGTAACTACAACTGGTCTCATTCACCTGACCCTGAAGGCTTCACCGACATGGCAGCACTGAGAAGGATGAGAAAGGAGAGGCCGACAAAATCTCAAGGCCGACCTAGGCTGCCACAACGAAGGAAGACAAAAATGATCGTCTGTACTTTCAATGCACGTACGCTAGCATCAGATGCATCCATCGAGGACCTGATGGTACAAGCGCGAATGATCAAGTACGACATCATTGGTCTGACCGAGACAAGAAGGCACGAATCTCACCATGCCGTTTTCGACACTGGAGAAGAATTGTTCCTCGGAACATGCGATAAAAGAGTTGTTGGAGGCGTCGGTGTCCTTGTCAACACAAACTTGGCCAAGAGCATTGATTCATTCGAATGCCTAACAACCCGAATCGGACGTTTACATTTGAATAGATGTGGCTCACTGCCTGCAGTTTCTATCTTCGTAATTAGGTTAGACATTTTTATATAAAGAGTGATGTAATGAGTAATTCTAAAATATTTTCTCAGTTGTGAAATAGGAAGCTGTGGAGCAAATATTCAACATGCTTTACAGAGCATTTGTCTTGAATTTTGCTTCTCATTGGAATTCCTTGGAAAAAAATTTTAAATGAGGACTTCTGGATCCTACCTCAGAGATTCTGAATTTATTAGATGCAGTTCAGCTCATTGAGGTATCTCGGGAGTTCAAGATGCCGCTCTGTCTAACGTTCATTGATTTAAAGAAGGCCTTTGATTCTGTTGAGACGGAAGCGGTCATGGAAGCCCTAGCCAAGCAGGGCGTACAAACTCAATACATCAGGATCCTTCGTGAGCTCTATTGTGGATTCACTACCAAGATCTCACCATTCTACAAAGAAGTAATCATCCATATCAAGAGAGGGGTTCGGCAGGGTGATACCATTTCACCAAAACTCTTCAGTGCCACCCTCGAGAACATCATGCGACGACTAGAATGGGAAAACATGGGAGTGAAGATAGATGGTCGGCAACTACACCACCTCCGCTTTGCTGATGACATCGTTCTAATAACACCAAACATCAGCCAAGCGGCACAAATGCTTGCGGACTTTGACCGTGAGTGTGGAAAGGTCGGACTACAGCTGAATCTTACGAAGACAATGTTTATGAGAAACAGCCTTGTTCCTGACGCTCCATTCGCTCTCAACGGAACCACCATCTCCGAATGCAACAGTTATATATACTTAGGTCGAGAAATCAACATGATGAATGACCTGGCACCTGAGTTACGCAGGAGGAAGAGAGCGGCTTGGAATGCCTTCAAGAGCATTGAAGAAATAACTAAAAGGACAAAGAACCTCCAGCTACGAGCACATCTCTTTGATTCCACTATTCTTCCTGCATTAACATATGCCTCAGAGACCTGGACCCTACGAAAACAGGATGAGAACGCTATTCGGGTCTCTCAAAGAGGAATCGAAAGAACTATGCTTGGAATATCACGATTCACTCAAATGAGAGATAGAATCCGGAGTTCTGATCTTCGTCAACGCTCAAGAATCAGGGACGCTGTCTCATTTGCCAAGCCATCAAAAATCAGATGGGCTGGACATGTAATGAGGTTTACAGACAACCGCTGGACTAGAGCCATTACTGATTGGATTCCACGAGACATCAAAAGATCACGTGGACGCCCACCTATAAGATGGTCAGACTTCTTTGTCAAGACCCTAAATGATCGGTTTGAGGCTCTGCATGTTCCTAGAACGAACAGATACCATTGGGCTACGCTAGCACGCAACCAGGATGAATGGAGATGTTACTGGCACCCGCTCGAATAAATCGATGAATAACGGGGATTAAGTGATTAAGTGATTAAGTTCAGCCTGGGAATTTGAGTTTTTAATACCTTTCAATGTGCACTCCAGATAAAATCCATTACCAGCAGAATTAGACAACAAAATTAACGGTGATTCTGAGGACTGAGTATTAAACTTTTATGATGCGAAGTATGGTTAGAAGAACATTTATGTCTGTATCCTTTAGTTAGAAATGCAAAGTGTCATTGAAAACTACTTTGAGGTTCTAATCTTGTATCATTCTGCTGTTATTTTCATCAATATATTTTACAGTTTCTGGTCTGATCTCAAGGTCTTTGATCCACTTTGACACTTTGAATGAACTTTTGTGTAAGATATGAGATAGGATCCAGTTTCATTTTTTACATGTGGCTATCCAATTTTTCTAATACCAGTTGTTGAAGAGACTATATTTGCTCCACTTCATGTACCCATATTAGTTGACCATAGACCTGGAAGTTGTCTTTGGGTACTCAGCTCTAACCCATTGATCAGAGAGTCTATATTTCAGTACCATGCTGTTTTGATCACTATTGCTTTATAATACAGTTTCAAGTTAAGAAAGGAAATACAACCAATTTCTTAGTTCTTAGCTTGGCTTTGGCTAGTATGGATGTTTTATGATTCCATACAAATTTTATCATTGACTCTTTGAAGCCCTTGAAGAATGTCATATGAATTTATCTGGGGATTATGTTGAATCTATATAGTAATTTAGATAGGATGCACATTTTGACAATATTGAGTCTTCCAACCCTTGAACAGGAAGTACTTTCAGACCCTTATTTTAATTTATGCAATAAATAGATATAGCAAAATAGATATAGTCCAATATTTTTTCTTGTTGTCTCACTATTAAAACATTTTTTAATAAAAAAAATTTCATTTCAGTGAAATGCCTGGATGTTGTTCCTCAAAAACATGCTGCAAGTGTCCAAAAAATAGTTAACTAAGTGGAGTGGCTGAAGGTATAACTTGTTTGGAAAAAATATATACACATTGCTTAGGCAAAAAAGAGCAGGCTTAATTATTTCATAGACAAATAATTTTTAAAATAACCCCTAAAGTATAAGAATGTATAATATGCAATTATGAATCTTTTCTCAAGTAAATCGTTTCTATTTTCATTTTAAAAAATAAAGTTAATGCATAAAAGCATAAAAATTCATTGTTAAGTTGAATAGGCTAATCTTTTTTAATTATTTATTTATTGGATAAAAAATGGATCTCCATGAGGTGCAGTTACAGAGTTACACACTTTCGTGGTTACATTTCAGTCATACAATGCTCCAGTACCCAGCCCTTCACCAGTGCCCATTCTCCATCACCAGTGATCTCAGTGTGCCTCGTCCCACCCCCACCTCATTCCCCAACCCCTGCTCCACTTCTGTGTCAGGGCATTCCCTTTTGCTCCCTCTCTCATTTGGGGGGTTATGGTTTGCAATAGAGGTGTTGAGTGGTCATCATGTTCAGTCTATTGTCTATTTTCAGAATGCATCTCTCATCCTGATGGGGCCTTCCAAGGACCCTTTACTTGGTGGTTCCTTCTCTATCTGAGCTGCCTTTTCCCCCAGCATGTGAGGCCGGCTTCCAAGCCATGGAGAAATCCTCCTGGTGCTTATCTCTACTATCCTTGGGCATTAGTCTCCCTTTCTGTTGCTTTATATTCCACAAATGTGTGCAATTGTTTTATGTCTGTCCCTCTCTTTCTGAATCATTTCACTTAACATAATACTTTCGATGTTGATCCACTTATAAGCAAATTTCATGACTTCATCTTTTCTAACAGCTGCATAGTATTTCATTGTGTAGATTACCAAAGTTTCTTTAACCAATCATCTGTTTTTGGGCATTCGGTTTTTTCCAGATTCTGGCTATTGTAAACAGTGCTGCAATGAACATACAAGTGCAGAAGTCATTTCGACTATATTTTTTGCCTCTCTGGGATATATTCCCAAGAGTGGTATTGCTGGGTCAAATGGGAGCTATTTCTAATTTTTTGAGAAGCATCCATACTGTTTTTCAAAAGGGCTGAACCAGTTGGCATTCCCACCAGCAGTGAAGGAGAGTCCCTTTCTCCCCACATCTGCACCAACACCATTTGCTTTTGTTCTTTTGGATGTGGGCCAGTCTCTGAGTTGTGAGGTGATATCTCATTGTTGTCTTGATTTGCATCTACCTGATGATTAGTGATGAAGAGCACTTTTTCATGTGCCTCTTGGCCATTCAGATTTCTTCTTTGAGAAAGTTTCTGTTCATTTCATCACCTCTTTTCTGATGGGGAGGACATTTTCTTCTTGTAGAGTCCAACCAGTGCCTTGTATATCCTTGATATCAACCCCTTAGCAGATGGGTATCGGGTGAATATCCTTTCCCATTCTGTATATTGTCTTTGTATTCTGGTCACGGTATCTTTTGAGGTGCAGAAGCTTCTTAGTTTAAGATAGCCCCATTTTTTAAAATCTCTGTTTCTACTTTGTTGGTCAGTGGCATGTCATCTTTGAAGATTCCTTTAGCTTCAATGTTGTGGAGGGTTTTGCCAACCTTGTCTTCAATGTAGAATATGTTAATCTTAAGTAAGTTAACTTTTGTTTTCTTAGATTATTCCATCTATGAAGAAATGTTTCTCCTTCATACAGACCTCAAATTAATGGTATGAGAGACAGATGTTCAGTATTTGGTCAATTAATCTTTGCTAAAGGAATAAAAAAATATGAAATGAAGCAAAGAAATACTCTTTAAGTGGTGCTGAGGAAACTGGTTGGTCACATGAAAAAAAATGAACTCAGATCTCGTTTGAATGCCATGCACAAAAGTCAAATCAAAATGAATTAAAGACCTTGATATCACACCTGTATCTAAAAGGTATATAAGGAAAATATAGGCAGAATTCCACATGACATTAAAGTTAGAGGTATCTTTAAGGATGAAACACCAACAATCAAGCAAATACAAGCAAAGATAAACAAATGGGACCACATTAAATTAAGAAGCTTTTGCACCTTAAAGGAAATAATGACCAGAACACAAAGACAGCTCACATAGTGGAAGAAATTAATGGCTATTCATCATATACTGTGAATAATAAACATAACAACTTTTTCATTTTAAATTTTAATTTCAAGAATACTTACAGTTAGGGCTGGTGGTCCAGGAGGTCCCATATCTCCCTAAAATATGTATTTGGAAAATTATAATTACCAACAGTCTTTTTTGCACATTATTTATACATTTTTGAATACATAGGAGCAATATCTATACAAGTCTTTAAGGAAAGAAAAATAGAACTTCATAAAAGTCTGTACAAGTGAAAATAAATTGTGCACTTTTAGCTTATGATATAAATATCACCTTATGTACCCCTGTGTTCTGTTCAACCACAGAACTTGTTTTGAAAGACTAAAATAATCTAATTTTCTATTCTTTTGTCTACTAACCCAAAATTAGAAAGAATATGTCTTCAAATACAGTTAGTTGCCAATGAAGCAGCTGGGGAGTGTCACAACGACAGATAAATTTTCTGACAAAGTTAGCATGAGGATCAGCAGAAATAATAAGTGGATCTCCCCACTCCATGCTCCCAGCTGCAAGATGCAGTCCCACTGCATCTTCTAAAGCTCTGCTGAATTGGCAGAGTACTTGCCATCAATTTTGAGAGGATCTGCCTATATTTCTGTAGTTTTTAAGATACTAAAATTGCTTTGTTGACCTATTTAAATTCAAATCACCAGGAAGATATGTTCAGAAAATATTAAAATATGTTAAGAGGGTTCACCTTAAGAGTTTACTATTTTCAACTTACATCTAACTTTTATTTTATATTAACTCAGCTCTGCCCTATTTATTTTATAAGGGCTCTTAGCCATTAAGTCCAGGGGATCATTGCTTTGAGTGGACATGATGATGGACATTATGGAGAAAATGCTTTGTGTGGCATGGATCAGAGGGATATTGTATTCTGGTGTTGAGACTGACATTCTGTTTTCTAATCTATTTATCTGAAAAGTTATGACAGGATTATTTAATGATTATCTTTTGTAACAACTGAATAAATTTATCAATAGCTGTTAAAGAACATTGACATAGTCTCAATCAGTCACTTTGGACTTATTCACAAGATAAACTTTAGCATAGAGGTAAAAGTATTGGAGATCAATAATGATTACTAAGTGATTAAAGGATGTAGAATATAATGCCATGTATATAAATACCCACATATATAATACCATGTAAATACCCACATATATAATAAATCATCAAATTGCAATCATCCAATGACCTTACTCAAAGTAACACTAACTGTACTATTTCTTTTCAAGACACTGTCAACATTTGATTATAAAATGTCATATAAAAGAAATGACAGGAAATGAAGTATCTAGACTAAGATTGAGATCGAATGTTGGCTTCCTTCTCCCAGAAGCCACCTGCTTCCCCACTGAGGTAGCAACTCAGTACCATTGGCACAGTTCCTCGACAGAAGAATATGGCTGTTAATGTGGTGATGAAATACCTAATACTGTTTAACAAGGGAAAGAATTGGGAAATCTTATAAATACAAATTAATGTCAACTACTAATTGTGCACTTAGTCTCTTCAAATGAATTTAATGAAGCAAAAGGCTTTTCCTATTCAAATGCTTTTTTAACATAAGAGCCCTTGGTTAATTTTAACAAAATTAACCTTTGTCAGTTAAACAGCGTCAATAAAAAGTCACCACATAGATTTTCAAGGTTTTCTTAGAAACAGCACTTTTGGGGTGAAATACAATACCTTTTCTCCTTTAGGACCAGGTAGACCTGGAGGACCCAAATCGCCTTTCAAACCCTGTACAAAGAACACAACCAATGTGATTTCTATACATAGCTCAAAGAAAGCTTCAAATTTTAACAAGTATTAGTCACGAACTAAATCATAATTTACTGAACTCCCAAATCTCATCCTGCAGTATGTAGTATAGAGAGAAACAGAGACAACTGGCACTAAAATGATAAGCAACATCTGTGTCGTGGTGGGTGCAGATACATTAAATCAGCGCGAGTCCTCAATACTGCATATTTGTGCAACTTTGCTTCCTGCTAAAATGACATTAATTCACCATCTGGGAGAACATCATTTAGTCTATATGAGCTTTTAAGTATCCACTTTGGATTAAATTTGTGGATGTTGTAAATACCTCTGATTTAGCATTGATTTGGCCTTTATAAAGCTTGCCAGAAAATTTCAAGAGTTAAGTCAAAAACATTTTATGTCTCTATCAAGAACTGTGATTGTAGTGGGTGAGGGTGGAGGAAATGAAGGATGGATTCTTTTCTGATCACTCACAAAAATGGATTAAAATGTAATCTCTGTCTTATATTTTAATGTATGCTTTAGTTGCCAAATTCTTTTATATATATATTTTTAAATTTTTATTAGTGAGACATCATGAGGTATAGTTGTAGACTTACAAATTTTTGTGCTTGGGTTTCAATTATATAATGATCAAATACCCATCCCTCCACCAGTGCCCATTTCCCACCACCACGGATCCCAGTATCCCTCCCATCCCCGCCCCGTCCCGCCCCCCCCCTCCCCCCCCCCCCCGGCCTCTGTGGCAGGGCATTCCCTTTTGTTCTTTCTCTCCTTTTGGGTGTTGTGGTTTGCAAAAGGGGCATTGAGTGGCAATCATGTTCGGTCTATAGTCTACTTTCAGCATGCTTCTCCCATCCTGGGAGGATCCTCCCAACACCCTGTATTTGGTGCTCCTTTCTCTATCTGAACTCCCTTTTCCCCTAGCATGTATGGCTGGCCTATGTAGCTGTTAGAAAATCCTAATTCTTTTTTTAAACCTAGATAGATAAAGCATATAAGACAGAGACAGTATATCTGACAAATATATTCATGAATCTTCGGGATACATGGGTGTTTTAATGGGTATTTGGTTGATCTGACTCAGAAATGAGAGCTTTCAGAAATACTTGAATAGATTTCAGGGTAGGAGATCAGTTTCACAACTGAAAATATTCAGTTTAAATAGAAGGTTAGATAGACACATCCCGGCTGTGTGGCAAATAGGAAAAAATATCCTTCAGCCTTAATATAATACTTTGGATGAGAGGAGGACAATAATAGAAAAAAAAAGAAGTATTCTGAAGCCATACAATGCTGAGTAAACCAAGGTAGTTTTCTGTTCCAATCTGAGTATCTGGATCCCAGTATTATTGCCCTGACAGTTTGTAGTGAATAAAAAATGTGTAAACAATCACTTTAACCACTCATTACAGAACCCAAATATGAATTTAAAGGAATAAAAGAAAACTGAATTTTTAATACAGTCTTTTTTGCCAAGAATATGTGAAAACTGTAGTCTTATGCTTTAAGAATAAAAAATAATAGGTAAAGAGAATATCTAACTGTAAAGATGTTATTGCAAAAAATGATTTCATGGCTATTATGCAAAGAAACATTTCCTTAATTGTTACTCTCGAGTATTTATAGATAAAGCGTATATAAAAACTCAAATCATAGAATATTATTTTAAATATTTAAATATTTATTTCCAAATATAGCAGTATATATCCTATTCATATATGTCCCTGGAGTGCAAGTTGGTATCAATTTATTTTGAGGACACAGACAAAAATGCCATATTTGTCTATAATTTTGTTGTTATTTCACTTTTTTAGTCATACATTAATTCAACATCATTATATACCTTTCATGCAATTACTCTTCTAGACTTTATATTCAATAGAGTTAAGCATGACTGACATAACTTTTGTCCATGAAATGAAACTAGTTTGAATTAAAATGTGTTGTGAATAAAAATACATTTTTGGTTATTTAACAAAAAAATAACGCAAGACAGCACTTCAGTAATTTATAAAATGATTTTTATAGAAATGATATATTTTATAATTTTGGGGGGATAATATACTATTAATATTAAAATTTCAGTTATTTATTTTCTCTTTTCTTAATATGGCTACTATCAGAAAATATAGCACATATCTTAAAGTTGTTATATTTATAAATATAATATATATCATATGTTAGTAGATAATGTTATTTAGAGATCTAGCAAATCAATGAACAACGGGAGGACAGTGACAGTGACAGAGATAAAAGATAAAATTAGAGGTTGGTAAAGTCTCTCATTTCTACCAAACACTTGTTACGTTCCTCTGAGTCCTTTCCTTGACTAGGTATCAATATTGTTTTGTTCCATCATCAAATGTACAAAGAAGTATTTCTTCAATTGTTACTGTGCAGTATTTATAGACAAATGGTATATAAAAGCTCAAATCATAGAGTATTATTTTAAATATTTAAATATTTATTTCCAAATCAAGCAGCACATACCCCTGGAGTACAAGTTGACATTAATTTATTTTGAGGACATGAGGGAAGAAAAATGCCATTTTTGTTTATAACTGGACATCATACTTGATGGTCTGTCTCTTCAATGTTAGTAAGAGTCATACTAGGTAGTTCAGCAAAGTTTCTCAAGGTGGGTGATACAACCATTCAGGAGGATGCTGAAATTATACAGGTTGCTGGTAGTGACCCTACATCCAATTGGGGTATGGGGTGCTTTCTTCTTGTTCATGTAAAAAAAGTTAATTAACATGGCTTAGAGATGCATGCTGATTGATTTTTTTTTCTGGAAAGGGGTCTATCGGACAAACAAATTCTGAAACTCCCTTTGATAACTGATTAATTTATTCAGCACGTATCAATTTGTTTTTATTTTTATTTTTTTATTTTTTTTGCTTTTGGATCACACCCGTTGATGCTCAGGGGTTACTCTGCATTCTGGAATTACTCCTGCTGGTATGTGGGGGACCATACAGAATGCTAGGGATTGAACCTTGGTTGACCGTGTACAAGGCAAACGCCTTACCCACTGTACTATGGCTCCAACCCCTCAGCATCCACAAATTTGAAGTATGTCTTCATCCTATTTTTAAAAAGTATTCTGTTATATCAACTTATACTCTTGAGATCTGTTCTTAGTAATGGTTCCTTTACTGACTCCACCTGCTGTTGGTTGTAACTTATTCTTCTCACTTATGCTCGGTATGTTTAGAATTGAATCAAGGGCCTCTCTTATAATACCCTTATTGCAATATTGTTCATAAAGCCTTTCTTATAATTTATTGTCATACAATAATTTTTATAGTAAATCAAGAGTTCTGCTCTTGTACATTAATTTTATAGGAAAGTAGCAATAAATAAGTCAACAGATGCAATGTGACAACAGAAAAGAGGAGGAAGAGTGTAACTACTTCAACTGCGGTGGTCAATAACAGTCGGTGTTGGGTGACGTTTGTTGTTTTAAAGGATTAGCCTGGGCTGGAGTGATAGTATGGCAGGTAGAGTGCTTGTCTTGCATACAGCCAACACAGTTCAATTCCTGGCACCCCATATGTTCCCCTGGCCCACCAGAAGTGATCTCTGAGCACAGAGCCAAGAGTGAGACCTGAACACTGCTGGATGTGACCCCCCCCAAATTAAAGCAAACAAACAAGAAGAATTTAGCTATACCACAATTCTGGGGGAAGTACTGGGGCAGAAGGAAGAGCAGGCACAAAACCACCCATGAAAGAATGTCATGAGTAAAGGGAAAGTGATTAAGTCAAGGTTAGGCAGTGATATTTGCACATAACAAACTTCATGATAACCTCTCAGTGTCTGTATTGCAAACCATAATGCCCAAAAGTAGAGAGAGAGTATGGAGAATACTGGCTACCATGGAGGCAGGGGGAGGGTGGGAAAGGGGGGTATACCGAGGACATTGGTGGTGGGGAATGTGCACTGGTGAAGGGATGGGTGTTTGATCATTGTGTGATTGTAACCCAAACATGAAAGCTTGTAACTATCTCAGGTTGGTAAAGGTAAAAGGTAAAGGCCCTCCCGTTGATCGTCGATTTGCTCGAGCGGGCCCAGTAACGTCTCCATTGGAGACTTTGTTGTTACTGTGTCTGGCATATCAAATACTCTCGGTAGCTTGCCGGGCTCTCCGAGAGAGGCGGGGGAATCGAACTCGGGTCGGCCATGTTGGCCGCTTGTAAGGCGAACGCCCTACCCGCTGTGCTATCGCTCCAGCCATCTCAGGTTGATTCAATAAAATTAAAAAAAAAAAAGTCAGGTCATATGGGAAGGAGAATGGGTTTTGTTTTGTTAATGGGAAACCACCTAAGTGTTTTAGTCAGAGAAATAACATTATAAGGCTAACATTATGAGACTGTTTACAAAGAGTCATTCTGACTACAATATGCAAATAGATAGCCAGCAAGAATTGAATAGAAAAGAAGCCAGCACCATTTCCCATGCAAGAGAACTGAAAGGGTGGAGCAGGGAAAATGAAAGAAGTGGTCGGAACTAATATATACTGAGAAACAAGACTTGCAGTTGTGCCAGAAGAGGGTCAGGGAAAAAAGGCATACCAAGACAGAATTATACTTGGTGGAATTAACTGTCTAGGTGGTCTGGGTATTTTATGAGCTGCGATAAACTTATTAAAGTGATTTTCTCTCTTTTTATTCTGATACTATCCAGATAAAAGATAACTGCCAAATGACTGGAAGGAAACAAACTATTTAATTATTTAAAAATGTTATTGAACATATACAAACATTCATATAAGCTTTATATTTCTAAGACCAGTATATAAATATTACTTAAAAATTAACCAAACATATAACATGTCATTCATGACAATGATTAGCTCTGGTGTGGGTCTGGGGTTCTACTGAGTTCAGGGTGCAACGCTGTCTTACATATTAAAAACTAAGATGCATAATCATCATATCTTTCGTATTATTAAATGTCATTATGCATAA